GATGATAGATCGATAGATGAATGGTGTATAGAATGATGGGTGGGTAGATGGATGGATGGATGATGGATGCATGAATGGGTGGATGGATGATGGATGGAGGATGGATGGATGGATGGAGTATAGATTGATGGGTGGGTAGGTGGATGGATGGATGGGTGGATGGGTGGAAGGATGGATGGGTGGATGGGTAGATAGGTGGATGGGTTCATGGATGGATGATGATGGATGGATGGATGATGGATGTATAGATGGATAGATGGATAGATGGATAATGGATGGATGGATGGATGGATGGATAATGGATGGATAGATGGATGATGGATGGATGAGGGATGGTTGGTTGGTGGATGGATGGATGGATGGATGGATGGATGGATGGATGGACAGATGGGTGGATATATGGATGGATGGATGGATGGATGGATGGATGGATGTGTGGGTGGATGGGTGAAGAGGATTCCCTCCAAAGGTCAAGTTTAGTGGAACCCAGTAATAGAAAAAGAGCAGGCCCAGCAGATGGCCTCTGTGAGAAAGCTCTAGGCACTGAGTGCTGCAGACCATTGGGAATGAGGCCATGCATGGCCAGGACCACCTATAAATTACCCTCAAGGGAGGGCTGAAATGCAAGGGGCCCATGGTAGAGTAAGTTCTGGCAGGAGGGGGCAGCCAAGGGCCTGCATCACGGGGTCACAACAGAGTGAGTCAGGTGGGGCGTTGTGGGGGAATGCTGGATGGAAGCATCCTAGGGAAGCAGGGGGCTCAAAGGACAGACCACCCCTGCTTCCCCCGGTGGCTCCAGCTCTGCAAGGTGCCAGCCCTGCAAGGCACCAAGGTCACCATCCACCCAGAGGAAATTCGGACATTCTTCATCCACTTTCAAGAGCAGTGAGGCCTTGGCAGAGTCTGTGGCTCCAGGGACGTTCCCTCGGCCACTAGAGCTGGCCCCGCCTACCCTCCCGCCTGGGGGGTGTCCTCACACAAGCACACCCCTGCATTCTCGTGCACAAGTCAGTCAGGAAGCCCCACTAAAGGCAGAGGGAAACACCCACCATGACACCTAAGGCACCTGCCCTGCAGGCCCCACCCCCTCTCTTAACCTGTGTTAAGCGCGGCCTACTGTGTTCCTAATGATGGGGTGTGGAGGCAGCATACGAGGGCAGGGGCCTCCGGAGCCCATGGGTTGCATGGGGGCCTGGTTTCCATTCGGGAAGGCTGCAGGAAGGTCACCCCCAGGCCAGGGCAGGGACTGTGGGAAGCTCAGACAACCCCGAGGCCTGAGCCCCGACAGGCTGGGGTGCTGAGAGCAGACGGCAGAATGTGCTCTATGTGTCTTTCCACTGTCACTTCGGGGCACCTGGGGGACCCTCTGTGGGCTGTGTCTGAAATGGCCCAGGTACAGGGTCTTGTGTCCCACTGTATCCACTGTAGGCTTCTCGAGGAGTCGCTTGTCTTGAAGTTGAAGTGTGGCCGAGAAGAGAGGCCGCTGGACACTGTCCTCTGGGAAATGAGGCACCTGAATTGTTGCTGACACCAGTTCCAGGACCGTGAAGGGTGGGGGAGAGGATGGCAAGGAGCACTTGTGAGTCTGGCTGAGTCCAAGGGGCGCCTCTGACCCTCACCTGCCCCGGCTAGAGGTAGGGCACAGAAGTGGGTTGCCCAAGCCAAGGATTCTGGAGTCACACCAAAGAGAAAACCACAAACTCCTGGCAGGGCTGCAGGTGGAGGGAGCGGCACCCGGGGCATGGGAGATTTCAGGAGTGTGGGAGGCTCTCAGCACATACCTGACCAGGTCACTTCTAACAGGTCACCTCATCTGGACCCTGGAAGGAGCAGTCAGAGATGACCCACCTCACACCCTGACACTCTCAGGATCTGTTTGTAATAGAGATCCTTCCACAGAGCCTGGGGCCAGACAGGTGCTCCAGAACTCAGAATTCCTTAGATTTTCAGGATAAACAGCACATGTCCTGTGTCAAGGAACACCTAGCATTGGATCTGGGGCAACACCTGTGATTAAACATTGCTATGGGCTGAATTGTGTCCACCCCAATATGTGTGTTCAAGTCCTAACCCCCCAGGACCTTAGAATATGGCTGTATTTGGAGATGGGATATTTAAAAAGTTTATTAAAGTAAAATGAGGTCGTGTGGGTGGGCTCTAATCCAACCCTTATTTTATTTTTTTTAATTTTTTAAGTTCATTTATTTATTTCGAGAGAGAGAGAGCAAGCAGGAGAGGGGGGAAGAGAGAGAGAGAGAGAGAGAGAGAGAATCCCACGCAGGCTTCACAACTGTCAGTGCAGTTCCCAATGCGGGGCTCGATCCCATGAACGATGAGATCATGACCTCAGCCAAAACCAAGAGTCAGACATGTAACCGACTGAGCCACCCAGATGCCCCTAATTTTACCGGTATATTATAGTTAGACAGTGTGGTTTATGTCTCGGTGTGGTAGATACGTGTAGAGATTTTTAGGCACCAAAAAGTTTTGGGAGATCCTAGCGAAATTTCTCAAAAATACCCAAGATCTGTGTTTTCAGGAGCAGATGGGACTAACAGATCATGGCCATTGTTCTTGAGCAGGTTGTGGCAGTGTTCATTGTGCACAACAGCTATGAATTGTAAGTAACCCAAAGATCCATCCACAGCAGTGTGGAAAAATACAGAGTGCAGTGGGTCTCCAAGTGTGGCCCCAGGACCAATAATACCAGCATCACTTGGGAAGCTGTTAGAAACACAAATTATCAGGTCCTACCTTGGACCAAACAAATCAGAAACTCTAGAGTAGGCCCAACAATATGGGTTTTAACAAATTTTCAAGGTTATTGTGATGCATGCTCAAATTTGAGAACCACTGCCAAAGGGCAATCAAAATGAGTGAACTATATTTGCAGATGACATGATACTATACATAGGAAACCCTAAGGATTCTCCCAAAAAACTACTAGAACAGATCATTGAATTCAGTAAAGTTGCAGGACACAAAAATCAACGTTCAGAAATCTTGTTGCATTTCTATGAGCTAAAAACAAAGCAGCAGAAAGAGAACTTAAGAAAACAATCCCACTTACAATTATACCAAAAATAATAAAACACCCAGGAATAAGCTTAACCAAAGAAGTGAAAGACCTGTATTCTGAAAACTGCAAAACAATAATGAAAGAAATTGAAGACGACACAAAGAAATGGAAAGATGTTCCATGTTCATGGATTGGAAGAACAAATATTCTTAAAATGTCTATACTACCCAAAGCAATCTACACATTCCATGCAATCTCTATCAAAACACCAACAGCATTTTTCAATGGACTAGAATGAACAATCCTAAAATTTGTATGGGACCGCAAAAGACCTCAAATAGCCAAAGCAATCTTGAAAAAGAAAAACAAAACTGGAGGCGGCACAATTCCAGACCTCAATTTATACCACAAAGCTGTAGTGATCAAATCAGAATGATCCTGGCACAAAAATAAACATATAGATCAATACAACAGAATAGAAATCCCAGAAATAAACCCAAAATTATACAGTCAATTGGTATTTAACAAAGGAGGAAAGACTATGTCATGGGAAAAAGACAGTCTCTTCAACAAATAGTGTTGGGAAAACCAGATAGTCACATGCAAAAGAATGAAACTGGACCACTTTCTTATGCCATAGACAAAAATAAACTCAAAATGGAATTAGGACCTAAATATGAGACCTGAAACGACAAAAATCCTAGAGGAGAGCAGTGATTTCTCTGACTTCGGCTGTAGCAACATTTTTCTGG